GTGTGTGTGTGTGTGTGTGTGTGTGTGTGTGTGTGAGGAGAATGTGGAAAGGAGAGATAGGGAAAGAATATTTAAAGAGTAACCACCTTATAGGAAGCAAATTCAGAAGAAGCAATCTGGTAGAATTAAGTGATTAAGGAATTTGAAGACTTATTAAGGTGTTAAACAAGTCAAACGTAAGAGAAAGTTAAATCAAGGGTTTTGCCCAAGATCTCTAGGAAACACTAGTATATACTGAAACAAAGAAGGGCAAATTATTTGAGTCACAATATTAAGAATTGTAATGCTTGTTCCTATTTTCTGTAGTGAATACTAATTAAAATTAAAACATACAAATCCGTGAGGATATAGATGATCACCTCTTAGTGCAAGAGTGTCACTTGAGGATTTGAGGAGGTTACATAACTTTCTTTTTCACTTGTCATTTTTTCAACTCCTTTGCTGAACCTTTTCAAGGTTGTGGCCTCTAATTGTTAAAGCACTCTAAGCTGTTTTCACAGTTTAAAATTTCAGTAGTTGATGTCCCCCAAGTTTGTATCTCTTCTTCAGTCTATACTTTGAACTTTGCATTCATTTAACTGTCTACTTGACATCTCCACTGCAGTCTAAAAGGCATCACCAATTAGCCTGTCCAAACAGAACTCTTGATTTGCCCCTATACTTGCTCCTTCTGCAGTTTCCACATGTTAGTAAATGGCAGCCGGTCATTCTGAAGTTCAGGTCAAAACCTTGGCCATCATTAAAAAAAAAAAAATGGAGAGAGAGAGAGACTATTTTTTAGAACAACTATAAATTTATACAAAAATTGAGCAGGGAGTACAAAGATTTCCCACATAAGCCCCAGTCACCATTTCCTGTTATTTCATCTTGCATTAATATGTTCATTGGTTTTAACTAATAAACTAACATTGATACATTATTAACTAAAGCTCATAGTTGACATTAGGGTTCATTCTTTGTATTATATAATTCTATGATTTTTGACAAACACGTAATGTCAAATATCTGCAATTGCATACAAAATAGTTTCGGCGCTCTAAAAATCTCCAGTGCTTCATCTGTTCATTCTGTTCACTCTGAGCCTCTACCCCAGCAGCTTTTGAACTTTTCACTTTCCCTGTAGTTTCAACATTTCCAGAATGTTACATAGTTGGAATCATGATAGTTTTTAGGAGGGATTTAGTTACCGTATTTGGTATGATGAGTGGTATCTTATTATTTTTAAATTTGTGATTTCTTTTTTCCAGTTTTTGATTTTTATTAATACATATTTGTGTTATATAATGATTACATTCCCTCTGGGGAGTTGGTACATGTACATAACACACTCAATTCTTTTTTTCTTTGTCTCCTCCCCTAATCTCTTGATCCTCTTCATCTTGGAAAAAGGACTATATTAACAGTGGAATAAAAGATTGCAAGAACTGATTTCTTCAGGATATTACTAGAGATATTCTTTGTTATGGGCTTTAGTACTAAAATGCTACATATTTTCTTGACAGATGCTCCATTATTATTTTCCTGTAATTTAAAATTATTTCTGAAAGCATAGACTTTATTATAAATTTATGTTTATAGTACTCTAAATTTCTTTAATGACCACTAATTTGAGGCCTGAAGTATAGTAACTGGTAAAATGATGTCTGTTACTTGGCTTCTTTTTACATCAGTATGTGAGTCCTCAACTTACCTCTGTTGGAGAAATCTATTGCTTGCTGGTAAAAACCTCCACTTTTGGCAGCTTCTTTCAATTTTAAACATCATTTTTGGTCTTACCCTAAAAAAAAAAGACCCAAATTTATTTTAGCAGACTGACTCCCCACTGAGGTGAATAGCCACATAGGCACTGCTTGTTCAACAGATCCCCTTGAGATTACAGTTGCTTGATTTTTACAAATTTTTTTTTTTCTTGGCATGACTCCCAAGGTTGGGGGGCACTCTGTTATCCATGAAACTCTTCTTTGGGACTGACCTTGTAGATGAATACGGCCTCTTTGGTGCTTCTGGTACTGAGTTAATTTTGCATTGTGTTTCAGAGTTGTATTATGGTGTATCATTTACTTATATCATGATGAAGCAGATTAAGGAGTTGGTGCCTTTTATTGATAAGGCTGCAACATGTACCAATTTGGCCATTTGAGGGCAGAAAATACTACCTTCTGTGCATTGAAATTAATACTAATTTTAATGATGCACTCTATTTTAACAAGATATTTAGCTTAAAGTGGTATTTTCTTCAACTTCTCATTCTCAGTGTAAATTTCCAGAGATTACTTAGTCTCTGTTTTAGGATCATTATAGAAAAATCAATGCTAAGACTTAAGCATTTAAGTAGCTTGGACTAAGGACATTAATTAGCTAAATTTCGTTCACTATGTGTTTGCATCACATTTGTCAAGTTAGCTATATTAAGCTTTAGAATCACCCCTTTCTTTTTTAGTATGTAAAACTCATCTATGAACAGTTATAAGAAGGAAGCATCTGCTATGAACATCAAAATTTATTACTGTTAACAGCTATGGTTATTATTGATGTATCTCTTTTTTTAGATGTGATTTATTTCCCCTTAAGATTTAACTGAATTGAAAAATTGAAATTCTTCTTATTAATATACAGGACATTTTCACATATAGATTTCTGTGCCTTATAAATTAAGATTTCAATTTTACTGGAGACAAAGTGAGATTATGTATAATATTCTACTAATACTTCTCCATTCTTGGCATCTTTACAATTGTGTATGATTCTTTAAGGAGAACTTTAGAACTTGGAACTTAAGAACGTTTTTGTTGTTAATATTATTAATGGATTAAGAAACACAATCTGTTAAAGGTAGGGTAAGCATTTTTATGAGTTTATACAGTATCCTATGAAGGAAACAAAGTAGAAAGCTTTTGAATGGGGAAAGATAATGTTGAAAAATAGACTAGAAAAGATCCTAAACAAGAAACTTTGTAAGACTTCTCAAGTGTGCTTTAAGTAACAGAGGCAGATAAACTGTTTTGCCCTGTCATTACTGTGAAGATTCATCCCTAGTCCCCCCCCCCCACTACCAAGTGTAAACATGCGCTCAGAGATGGGAACTTCCATTTCATTTTTGACAGTGAGTTCCCTCAACTCTGAAAACAAAGCCCCCTTTACAAGGCTAAGCTAATTTTCAAACCTTAAGGTCTCCCACATGAGCGTTTTGAGTAAGTCTGAAAATGTTTTGCTGTTTATACTAAATACCTTTGAAAACAAAATATTCAGTTGAGGTTGAAAGAAGATCAGTGAATGAGATGGAAATTTCTATCTGAAATTTCAGTATATGAGTTAGAGTCTCATACAGTTTACCTTAGGAAAAATTACACCCGTGCTCCCCTCTTGATTTGAACAATACTGAGTAACAGAAAAATGTGTAGAGTTGTCTTACAAGGTTTTTCCCTTCTTTTGTGTTCCATTCTCGTCATAGTCTACCAGTTAGAGATGTTCAGAGAAATTATATTTAACTTGTGGCACTGCAGTGGTTTTATGTGTATTATGTACTGAGTTTTATGTATATTGCATACTAAGAAGTAACTGGGATAAGTACTGACAACAGAAGATTTAGATATATTAAAATTTTAGTTACTTCACAGTCTGTTTTCCTCTTTTTTTAAAATTTAAGGTCTTGCTATGTAGTTCAGGCTGGCCTTGAAATAGCTGTGTTGTACAGGGCGGCTTGGAACTCATGGTGACCCTCCTGCTTCAGCTTCCAAATTGCTGGGATTGCAGTGTGCACCACCATGCCCAGCTTGTTGTTTTTCATCTTTGTAGAAAAAATTCAAGATGGACAGTCTATAATATTGATCTTTTCTATGACTATTAGTTTGCTACTTTTAAAGAAGAAAAATCTTTTTACTAAAAGGTTTGCATTGATGAAATAGGCAGAGTATGCTGTCTTTTTTTTTTTTTCTCATCAGTGTTGAGTAATGAAGTTTCTGATTAATGTCTGAATGTTTCCGAATCTCTAAGCTGAGCTACTTATATGAACAGAATCTAACTCACTGTCCTGCAACTCAACATAGGTGGAAATTATTGTTTAAGGACTAAGTCAGTTTTGAGCAATTCAGGATACGTATTTCAAAAATTATATATTTTCTATACTTAACACTAATAGCACAGTATAGCTTAGTATGTTTGGGTTAGTATTTGTTTTTAACAATAACCATGGAGGGGGACACATTATGTCTCAGTTGGTAAAGTAGCAAAGCTAGTGTAGCCACTGTGTACTAATACTTGTATTCAGTGAGGACTTGACATTTTACAAAGCTCTTTTGTATATGCTACTTCACTGATCCTTACAGTAATCTTATTCTAAAGGTAGTAATTATAAGCCCCATGTAAAAACATGAGGAAAATACTTATTGCCGTCTATTTTTTAAAATAATAAACCTGAATACAACTTGTTTCACTATAAGATCCCAAGTTGGAAAATTAAAAAATTAGTACCCATGGTCCTACATACACAAAACCCTGTTAAGTGCCCGGTTTTGTAAGTTCTTAAACAGTTGATCAGGAGAGGGAGGTGAATGCTTTTGTAAAGGACTGGAAGTCAATAGATAGCCCTTATTTACTATGAGAGAAGTCAGCTTTAAATGTATATATTGAGCCTTCAGACATTTCCTTAGCATAATTACCTACCTTTTCAAGATTTTACAGTATATTATTATTATCACTAATCGGAGGACCGTGGCTCCTAAATCTGTTATTTATTTTTAGGATAAGAGAGATCTTGAAGGCATCTCGAAAATTGCAAGGTGATCCAGATTTGCCGATGTCTTTTACTTTGGCCATAGTGGAGTCTGACTCTACAATAGTCTATTATAAACTTACTGATGGATTTATGCTGCCAGACCCTCAGGTCAGTTTTGAAGTGACTGACAATAAACAGTGGAAAAAGAAGAAAATTATGACATGATTTTAAGTGCAAATCAAACCATTCATAGAACTTCTTCCTTTACCATATGAAAATTTCAAGAAAAAAAAACCTTGATTTTCCTACTTCATAAAACTGCTTATTTTTTTTTTACAAAGTAACATCTTCGTAACTATTTTTACAAAAGTACTTTGATTCTCCTTCTGTATGGAGAATTTCATAGTTCCCCAGAATAGTTCATGAAGTTGCTGTTTAATTATTTAGTGAGTAATTGAAGTTGAATGTAAAGGCTAGTAATAGTTTCAACCAAAAGAACACTTATTTAGGAAATATTAATTTCTTTGACTTTTTTTTTTTTTTTTTTTTTTTTGGTACCGGGGATCGAACTCTGGTCCTTGCACTTGCAGGGCAGGCGGCAGAACCACTGAGCTAAATCCCTGGCCCAATTTCTTTGACATTTTGACAGGAACATTTTAATAAATTAAATGTTTTACATACTTTGTTGACATAATTGGGATAATTATCTTAAGTGTCTCTGATTTTGCTTGTAAATTCACTATTTGCTAGGTAAAGGGTCCATCCTAATATTTTTCCCCTTTATTTTCCAGAATATTTCCCTTAGAAGATGACATCTACACTTCTTGGTGCTTATCTCATTCATGAGAGATTGGATTTGAGACCCATCAGCCTGCTTCATCTTTTATCTCAGAGACCGACTCAGATTTTATCTCAGGGTTGACTTAGTTGGTCCCATCCATAATTTTTCTTTCTGAAGAATAAAACTTGCCCAGATAAAAGAATTTGCAGTACTCAAAAAAGTAGAGTAGCTGCTAAGGAACGTTCTTCATAGAGACAGTTGAAGTGCAGCTGTACGCAGGTTAAGTCGAGGCTTTTTCAGAGTGTGTGTCTTCTGTCACCCCTTTCTCAGCCGCCACTGCTAGGTCATTGCGGAAGCTACCACCTCTTTTCCTCACTCAGCTCTCCCAGTGCCTTTGCCCTCTCGCTAGCTTGAGTGGCACTTCGGATGCACTTTGACAGTGAAAAGTTTACTTCTGCCTGCATTTTCATCTTTCATAGAAAGTAAAAGATTTCTTTCAGTTGGTTTATTTTCCTGTTGTACTTTACTGTTTCTGTACTACCCTGTTTGGTTGACTTTAAATCAGAACTGAAACTATGCTCATAAAAAGTGTAAATGTACATACCTGCATTAACAGGGACCAGAGAAATGCTACCTAGAAGAGTACTGGTCCTCCTTCCCATTCTTACCACCACAGTCCTTGTCATAGCATAGCTAGAAGATTTTAAGAGAGAGTAAGGGACAATGTCAGCCCTAAAAATGTCTGTATTAATTAGAACCAGTTACTCTACTTTTATTAAATTGGTAAAGTATGAAAAATTACATACACAAAGATTTTCCAAGTGATATTACCGTTTTTTTTGGTACCAGGGATTGAACTTGGGACCTTTTGCTTGTGAGGCAGGGGGTGGCACCACTGAGCTAAATCCCTGGCCCAACATTATCTTTTAATAGCCCAAATTATAAGTCATTTACAAGTTTCATGCAGCAGTCAGCACACTTTCTTTAGAAGTCCAGAAAGTGAATGTTTTAGGCTTTGTATAACACACCGTCATAACTGCTCAATACTGCTACTTGAAGCATGAAAGCAGCCATAGACAAGTGGGCATGGCTGTGTTCCAATAAAACTTTATTTACAAATTTGAGGCCATAGTTTGCTGTCCCCTAGTCTAGGTAAGTAGTCAATAATCAGATATCTATGAATGGTATTGTATATACTCATTAAAAATTAATATGAAAAGCATGAGAAAATGTTAAATGAAAACAGCAAGATACAAAACAATGAAAGAATGTGATCATGGTTTCACATGTGGTTATATGTTTTGATGTGTCATAAAAAGATGTCAAAGTAAATCAAATTACCAACTGTGGTTATAGTAGGCTGGTACGGCAGAAAATAGATGACTTTGTCTTTCCTCAGTATTTCATTTTTTAATTGTATTACTTTTGAATAAAAATATTTTAGAGTAAAAATGTACATTGAAATCTGTGTGTTACCTATCATTGCATAATAATACTGGCAACTTAAAACAGCACAACATTTGTGATCTTGTGGTTTTTATGGGTAAGTGACCTGGGCGTGGATTAGTTGACCGCAGCTGAGGTGTTGGTCAGGGCTGCATTCTCACCTGAGGTTTGACCTAGAAAGAATCTGCTTCACTGTTCATGTGGTTGTCAGCAGCCTTCCATTCCTGCTGAGGGCCTCAGTTCCTAACGATACACCAGGATGTAGGGAACAGGGAAAGGGGCTACTTTACTAGAACCTCTGCAGTGAGTCCTAGTCTCCTGAGAGCCACGGCAGCACAAGGTGAATTACAGGAAAGGTAGAAAATTGAGACATTGAGAAGAAGCTGAGCTTTGGGTCTGATCAGTGCTGCTCTGGGTGACAAAGACGAAGACCCCAGCTTACTGCACCTTTTATTCAGTACATCGGGAGAAGCAAAGTGTAACAATCCAAGAACAATGAGGAACTGAGTAGATGACGATTTTGTTCCTCCCGGGATGTCTTCAGCTGGTGTAATCTTGTCTTGGAAAATCACAGCATCACCGGATCATTGAGGTCTCAGTTGTGACCGGGGGCCAAAATGGAATTATGTTTCAAAATGCCATAACTGGGCTGTAAGCAGGAGAACTAGGCTTAATCAAATGGGGTTTTTTTCCCTAAAATTATGTAGCATTGCTCCCAACACAGAAGACTATACTTGACTTTTTGCCACATGGGCCTTTCAAACACAGCTGGTTACTCTTTTTTTCTTTTTTTGCCCTTAAATTCTTTTATTGGTACATTTTAGGTATACAGCACATTTACATTTATCATTGGGTGCTTGTACCTGTACATGAAGTATCTTGGTTCTCATTTTTTTCCCCATTCTCTGTGCTCCCTTCCCCTCTCCACCCTTCCCTATTTACATATTTGTTTCCATTTTTTCCTTTTCTCATTTCTTCCTTTCCCCTTTCCCTCCTACTTCCTCTACCCCTTTAGTACTTTTCTTCCTATTTCAAATTATCAATTATTTGTTTTAATCATTTTTATCCTTATTTACACTTTCAGTTTCTCACACTAGAGAAACTATTCTGTATTTGCACATGTGTGTCCTATTTATTTTACTTAAGAGTATGGTCTCAATATGCATCCATTTAGCTATAAATGTCTCTAGTTTCTCATTCTTTATGGCTGAGTAGTACTCTATTTTATTAAAAAAAAACCACATCTTCTTTATCCAGTTTCTAGCTGATGGGCACTGGGGCTGTTTCCAAGCTTTAGCTATTACAAACTGTGCCACTATAAACATGGGCACACATATATCGCTGTGGTATGATTCTTTTTTGTTTTTATCACTGTGGTATGATTCTTTTAATTCTTTTGGGAAGATACCCAGCAGGGAAATAGCTGGGTCAAATGGGACCTCTAGTCCTAGTTCTTTGAGGTATCTCCATACTGATTTCCACAGTGGTTGCACCAGTCTGCACTCCCACCAACAATGGAGAAGGGTTCCTTTCTCCCCACAATCCCACCAGCATTTGTTATTGGTTGATTTCTTTTGGGGGGGGGGTACCAGGGATCGGACTCTGGACCTTGCACTGTCAAGGCAGGTGGCAGAACCACTGAGCTAAATCCCCGGCATTGGTTGATTTCTTGCTGTAGGTGATCTGGTTTTGAGACTTATTTACGTGTTTTCTCATTTCGACTGGGCCAGAGGGCTGTTAGCGCCTGCACGGATTACCTCCTCTGAGCTGGGTAAGGTGGGCCAGGGGCCGCGAGCAGCAGTAGGGATGTTGACCCAAAAGCCCTTTCCTGTGGGCTGGGAGCAGCAGGATGGATGGTGGCCTGGAAGCCCCTTCCTCTGGACCAGGAGCAGTGGGATGGCGGCTCAGAAGCCCCTTCCTCTGGGCCGGGAGTGGTGGGAGGGATGGTGGTCTGGAAGCCCCTTCTTCTGGGCCAGGAGCAGCGGGACAGAAGGTGGCCCAAAACCCCTTTCCTCTGGGCTGTGAGCAGCGGGAAGGATGGTGACCGGGAAGCCCTGTCCTCTGGACCAGGAGCAGTGGGACAACGGCTCAGAAGCCCCTACCTCTGGGCCGGGAACAGCGGGACACAGTACCTTGGTCTGGTGGTCTGGTGTCCTCTGCGTCTTTGTAATGTGGAACCTGCCTGTCTGCAGCGGGGTGATTCGGTGTCTTCCGCGTGACTCAGGACCTCGGTAGGGCGTGCACAGACCTGCCTGTCTGCAGCGTGCTGATTCGGCGTGTTCTCTGCCACTCAGGACCTCGGTAGGGCATGGGCAGACCTGCCTCATTGGTTGATTTCTTGATAGCAGGCATTCTTTCTGGGTTGGGGTGGAATCTCAGTGTTGCTTTCATCTGCATCTCTCGAATGACCAGTGATGTTGAACATTTTTTCATGTGTTTATTTGCTTCTTTTACTTCTTTGTCTGAGAAATGTGTGTTCATTTCAGATGCCCATTTTTGAATTGGGTCTTTGAATTTGTGGGTCTGATTTTTTTCCAGTTCTTTATATATTCTAGATAATAGTACTTTGTCTGAGGAGCAGCTGCTAAAATTTTTTTCCCACATTTTAGGTTGTCTCTTAGCTCTGATGGTGGTTTCTCTTGCAGTGCAGAAGCTTTTTAATAGGATGAGATCCCAGCACAACTGGTTACTCTGTCACAGCAGCAAAGGAGAGAGTCTCAGCAGGATGACTCTCATAATCCTTTGCCATGTTCCACAGAAGCAAGTCACAAGTCCTATCCATACTGGGGTCTCATGGCTGATCAGGAAACAACAGTAACAAGAATGGAAAAAAATGACAAAAATTAGAAACATTGCAAAATGATATAAAACATTCTTGGTCTGTATTCCTGGCTTCTTTCTTTTGTTGGTAATTTGAGTTTCACTTTAATTCTTGATCAAAAGTATTCACAATTCCTTTAGACTCCCTTTCTTAGGATCTCTTAGTTCCTCTAGTGTCTCACTGGATTCTGTTTGAGGACTTTCATCACTATGGTAGATAAACAGTTCATATTTTCAGGTAGAAGTGGAAAACTTAACAAATGTCAGATTTGTATTGTCAGATCTGGTGACGAGTAGGCCCCTTGGTAAATGAGATCCAAAGTGTCTTGAGTTTGGCTGTGAAAAGTACTTTTTCAAGTCATTAAAACCAGGATTCAATGTCACTGTATGTCCTGGGATGTTTACTCTGTTTCAGAATGTTCCCTGTGTACTTGACTGAAGTTGTTCTGTCTAAAGCCTGCTAGTATGAATTTCCAACACAGTTTGGAAAGGGAGGCAGCCATCTGTGTCTGTCTTATTTTAGGGGAAAACTAAGTAAAATTATTTAAGTAATTTTATGTTGAGTTTACATTTGTCTCCCTTGTTAAACTATGAGCTCCTTAAGAACAAATGTCATGTCTTTTAAAAATACATCTCTATATTCTGCCACTTTCCACAGTAATTGTCACATAGCAGACTTTCAATAAATATTTGTTGAACAAATGAATGCTAATTATAGACTAGTTTGGTTGTATTGTGGCTTACATTTTGGCTGAAGCCAAACTCAAATGGTCTATTTCAACACTAGAGGGCACTGCTAGATCACATTTTCAGACTCTAGGCTTAGATAAATTTGAAAAGTATTCTTGAAAATTTATTTTCAATCTGTGGGAAGTAGCATAAATAAAAATATAAATAAGTTTTATGTGCTCACACCCCCTCTTTCTTTCTGGCAGGTCTCTAAAATTACATTCTACTGGCATATGACTTGATTCATGCTTTGCTCAAAGTGTAGATCTATATTTAAAAATAAAGCCTTTTTGAGGTATGGGGTGGGTGGAGTGGGGTGTTTTATTATAGTCTATGGTTTTGTTCATATCCATATGAAATTATGCATTTCATTTTTTTGTGCAAACGGTTGACATATTCAATAAATTTCAGCATTAATCTCATAGCGAGAAATTTCAGTTCTGAAACGTTTATTGTACTGGCTAAATCCCAGTGGTAAAAGACATGAACTGCGGCTATAATATGCTCAAACTTCTCTGTAAATGAGCTGCCCCCTCTAACTGGGGCAGGGGAAAGGGAAAGGGCTTGTGAGGGCTTCTCTCCTGTGCTGTGGGGCCTGTGGGTTTCTGGAGTCCCTGAGCTGTGTGCCCCGTGCTGGGGAGGCTCAGGGAAACAGGGCGGGGGCAGCCAGTACAATGGCTCTGACTGACATATCGCTTCTCCTACCTGGGCCTCTTCCGAATAAAGAACTTGAGAACAGAGGTACTTGGGAATTCCAAGCTACATTTCGAATAGGCAGATAATCTCCTATAAAGTTCATGTAATCTGTATTTTTTGGCTGAAACAACTTTATAGTTTTATGAGCCTGGAACTAAACGACATAATCTAAACTTCATAGTGTTTCTTCTCTCTTGAACATTTCTGTGTTGAATTCCTCTCTGAGGTCACTTTTTCCATGGAACCCCCTAACATGAGGCCTCTTCATTGCTGCTGTACACTGGTTCCTGCCAAAGTTTATAGTTCTTCCATCCAGGAGCTCTTTATTCAGCAACCATGTTTTACCTTGACTGTTTACAGAATAATGTTCTATCATCTGAACAGATAATAGTACAGTTTCCCCTTCTTTCTAGCCAATAACTATTCTGTTCCTTGCCACCTCCCCCCTAGCAGCCTAATCCTCTTAATGATGTTTGAATAAGAACTGCTTGTGCTTGCTAAACAGAGGATGGAAAATCACATGTCTGTGAAACTGTTAGAATGCCTAGCTATGTCGTGCTATTATAATACTGAGATGATTCAGGAAAATTTCTCTGAAACCAGTGCAAGCCAAACTGAAGATTGGCTTTTTGTTTGAGGGTTACCAAGTAGAGATAATATTAAATATTTTGTTGAAGTTTACTTCATTTACTACTGTATCTTCAGACATTAACTGGTGTCTTAATTAGCTAAAAATTACTATAGGCTGAGTGGTTTAAAAAGAAG